ACACACACACACACACACACACACACACACACACAGCTTCCTCTACTTTGGTAAGGGTTTCTCTACAGAATAAAATATGGACTCTTAGCTAACTATAAAACGGAAAATAGTCTCAATATCATTTATGTCCTGATGCATCTCAGTAATCCAGGTAGAAAAAATCAAAAAAGAAAAATAATAAGTAGGTCCTCTGGATGGGTTATTCTTTAGTGCAACATTTCGTCTCTCCTCCAAGAGACTTCTTCAGTCTGTTGAGTTTCAGGTGACCTCAGCCTTACAAGCACTGCCTCCACATGGACAAACAGTTTAGTCACATGCAAAAGAGGGCCATCGTCTGACAATAGGCTTGATTAGCTCTATTGTTCATTGAGGGTCATGTGCCCCACCTGCCTCACCTGACCCGTGTCGTGTTATGTGTATGTAGTGAATGCAGGGGGGGCTCGACAATGATACCAACACAAAAAGGGAAAGAGGGACAAAAGCAAGGGGATGTCGAGCCCTGCTTGCACTCACTACATACACATAACACGACACAGGTCAGGTGATGGGGCACATGATCCTCAATGAACAATAGAGCTAATCAAACCTATTGTCAGTTAATGGCCCTCTTTTGCATGTGACTAACCTGTTTGTCCATGTGGAGGCAGGACTTATAAGGCTGAGTTCACCTGAAACTCATCAGACTGAAGAAGTCTCTTGGAGGAGAGACGAAACGTTTCACTAAAGAAGAACCCATCCAGAGGACCTACTTTTTTTTTTTTGATCAATATTATTTACTTACTCAGGAGTATTTTCCATGCTGCAACAGTGGACACATAATGTGCATTGCTGGAGAGTGAAATTGATTGAATTTTGCAATAATCCTAACAAAAATCCTTCCTTCCATATTTTTAACAGCTGAAAAAACAACTTGCCAGATAAAAAAGTCTCATTAGCCTCTCCTGGTTTCTTGTTTCTAGGGAAACAGTAAGCAAATAWATTTTGTCTAGCGTGTCCAGCATAATTACAAAAACTTGTATTTTCTTTTTTTTTACCGTCTAACTTTATAATGTCATAGCAGTATACAAAAAGGACAGTAGTTAGACTATATATGTGTTATAAATTGTTTATTATTAATCTTGCCCTCCTCTGTGCTTTCAGTTGCAAGGAACCAATATGAGCGGATGGGCAGTGATGTCACCATGCAGTGCGGCTCCCTGAACAGCGACGCGTCAGTCTCATGGAAGGTGAACGGGACGGACGTAATATCTCCGCACCATCTAGAAGGTCCCAAACTGATTCTGACCGAGGTGGACCTTGGACATAACGGACTCTACAGCTGCTTTCAGAACCCAGACGGAGAGAGGCGTGATACCATCTACCTTCACGTTGGTCGTAAGTACACAACCATTTGACTTTTTTTATGAGAACACTTCACCCAGCCCCACATCAGCCCACATTTTTTTTCTAGTGAAGCCCTTTAAGCAAACGACATTGTTTCAACATTTGAAAGCTGTCTCATTTTATTTTGAAAACTTGAATTGTCTGACCCGCTGTCAGATGACAAAGTTTTAATGATTAGTTGTTAAAATTACATGTTGGCTATTTGCAGTTATGACCGGACATTTTAACAATCATACAAAAGCAATTTAAGTGTCAATTTAGGATCATTCCCCAGTGGCCTGTGAGATGGCATTTGCCTCCCTTGAGATCCATTATTCTGATGGGAATGGATTCATACACTGGAGATTGTGCATAATAATGGGGTTGAGATGGGATGGACTTGTGAATGTGAGGAGCTCCTGAGGATGATGGGCAAATGGCTTTAACTCGAGAACGTAAAAGTCTCAATTCTGACTCTTTGCTCTGCATGTCAGGGAAGGGAAAGTGGAGAAATCCATTTTAATACACACTTTGTCATGGTTGGCTTTTTTTTCCACATGGCCTGAAAACATTATTAAAAAACACAGTTATTGGAAGAATTATCATGGATGATGTTAACAAATTGTTTTATACTATTTTTTGTCTCTTTATTGTTTGATTGCCATTGTAAATCTCAGTCACTCTGGACATCCTATCAAGTACATCAAAGGCAACTAGATTTTGTTTTTGATGCAGCTTTCCATCAAAGGATATTTTTCAGTTATGTTCAAAAAAAAGAAAAGAAAAGAAACGTGAATGAAATGTCCCAGGGTGAGAGACAAAACATATTCACAAAGAAAAATAAGACATTCAGTTGTCATTGATTCAGGTTGGTAGAATATGTACCCAAATTGTWAAATTATTTTATGCACAGTTTCCTAAAGCGATAAACTTTGATTAATTGTAAAGAGATCTAATGTTCAGCACAGCAAAAAAAAGTGTATGTATAAAGATAATATAATGCCATATACAGTATGAGTTAAGAAATACTATGACCATGAAATGGCTTAAACATGCAAAATGGAGGATATTTTTTATTCACTACAGTGCATTTGTGAATAAATAAGTAGAAATTAAAATATAGCAGCACAGACATAAGCATTTTTTAGAATGGATGTGCAACTAATTTGCCTGGAGCTAATTTGTAAATGTATTATTTTTCGATCTGCTCATCAACAGTGACAAATATATATA